TTGGAGATAAACCATTAGAAGTAGTCGACAAGTTCATGTATCTGGGTGCAGCGTGTGCTAATGACAGGAATTGGTAAGTAGTACGTTGGTGACGTCTTCTGAGAGACTTGAGTGACGGAGCGATGGACTTAGTTTCAAAGAGGAGAAATGAAGATAATTGTTACGTTATCCATGCCTTGCGTTCCGAGTGGAATATACGGCTTTAGCAACATATTTCCATCTGATTTCATTTTCCTCCGGTTGTATGACTGTCCAAAGGCCTTCATTTCCTCTTTACATTATCTCTTACAAGTCTTCCTCGAACCCACGTCCAAATCATCGCTTCTCGTTCGGGAGTCGGTTCAGACCAATCCTGCGGCATCATCATAAATTTGTCAGGGATAAATCGTACGCCAAACATGCAAAGATTTCTGCTCAGGGTATTCAGAAGATTCCACAGTTTTTCAGCATCTTCACCTAGGAAGACAATATCACCAACATACTCTAAGTCGATGAGACTGTCTCTCAGTAGCAAGTCAATCCCTTAGTCGTTAAAGTTCATTAGGAATATTGCCAATAGTACATCTATGTCAAATCGAGAAGGCGAGAAACACATTCATCAACCTGAAACCAATCTGGAAATCTTCGTCACTCAGCCTGCATCAACAACAGAATACGGATTTTCAATACAAACGTCAAGTCAGTCAGTTCTTCTATACGGATCAGAAACTTGACCAGCGGGTCACAAAGAATACTTCCAACAGTTTGCGAACCTTGATCAACAGCTGTCTTCGCTCTATACTGAAGATCAGATGGCCGGAAACAATCACCAACAAGAAACTATGGGAACAAACAAAACAAGAACCAATCGGTCAACAAATATGCAGGAGAAAGTGGAGATGGATTGGACACTCGCTGAGGAGGCCGCTGGGTGACATCGCGCGTCAGGCCATAGCTCGAGTGGAACCCGAAAGGGAAGCGGCGAGTGGGACGTCCAAGGGTGACATGGAGGAGATCGTGTGAAGAGGAGTTGAAACAGTATGGACTAACATGGATGCAGGTGAGAAGTACAGCAGAAGACAGAAGCAAGTGGAGACGTGTAGTTGAAGCCCTATGTTCCACTAGGAACCCAAGGGAACACTAATAATTCTACATCTTTCTGACATTTTGTGTGACTCATGCAAATTCTGAATGTGACTATCTCTCAGTTAAAATGAATAGGGTAATAAGGTTTTTAATTTGTCTTTTAAGCTTCTGGTTTTCATTCTTTCCTGAGGAATATTATGAATAAATAGAAATTTTCATGTCTTGGTACTGCATAATTTTGTGATGTATTTCATGATTGCAACCGCTGGGTAGATACTTATTTCTTTCTTATGGTTAAGCATTTAAGATCTTCTTATCTTAATGTCACTAGTATCTCACTTGGTTGTCAATAAACTGCAAATTTATTTCAAGTGCTCTCTAGATAATTTAGATCAGATATGTTTTGCCTCTCGTGATTGAGAATTTTGCATATAATTCTAAATCCAAATAGTCACTGATACTTTCACTGTGTCCATTCTATCACTTAAGTTGCCTGTCATCTATTATTCGAACCAACAGACAGTGGTACAATTTGAAATCGTAAGAAAGTCCTCTGACTTACAACATAATGGTCGTGATTTGTTAGTTACATCGATTACAGAGCACACATTATTAGAATTAATAAAAAGAAATTGGCTAGTAAAACATTAGTCTTTACTTAAATAGTCATATATCGATTCCATAGAAGTATTCAGTTGTCTGATATATATTCCAGTAAATTATTGATCCTCTGAATGTATAATTTTTCCTATTTTAAGTGTAACAATTCCTTGAAGTAGTTGTCAAGAGGAAATTATTATTCCTCTTAAAGGTACAGATGACTTCCTGTGTTTTTATAAATTGTCAACCATTTCCATGCATTCTTGTGCAAAAAGTATGCGGCATTTTTTATTTAGGTAGACAGTAGCATTGTTGTTGTTCGACTAGACTCATTCGCATATCCTACACCAGAAGTTAGAATACCAGCCAGTCAACGAAACTATAAAAATGAAGGTTGTGTCAACTTAAAAGCATTACCTGATGATATACCATAATTTCAAAGAAACACTAAACTAAGAAGTAAAGATAGCTTTAATTGTCACTGATATGTGGCAGTAGGACTTATGTTATCAAGGTAGATACTGACTGTTAGAATTTAACTCTAAGCATTGTCATTTAGTACTATCGTATGTATTACCTATCCTTATAGCCTTCTTTTGCTTTCGATAAACTGTAAATTAAAGTAACTTGAAGGATAGAGCAGTGGAATCCAGGATGCGAATTTAGTCCTATTTGGAACTCGTCATCTAGATTTACTTGTGTTCCCACTGAGACACGTCACCAGAGGCCGAACATATAAGTTCAGTCAATCAACGGGAAAATAAAATAACACAAGTAAAATCTAGACTAGATGATTTGGCTTTCCATTTTATCTTCCTAGTAAATATTTTTGTCTCATGTCGCAGTTATCTTCACCTACGCACAATGCAGGTTAGAAAAAACCGCCGCATATTTTGGAAAGATAATGAGGATTTATTTTTTTAAAATAGAGCCAACATGCTGATTATGGCAACTAGATAACTTTTAGAATAATTTGTTCCCTTTATGAATTTAGACAAAGCAATACGAAGACGTAATTTGTCTGAATCGTGTAATGTATTTGCGCAACACATTTCGAACAATCTGATCACACATGCACTTGTCATAGGAATATATGTATATAATATATATATATATATATATATATATATATATATATATGAAATTAATAAAGAGGTAAAAGGTGAGAAAATAGACTTAGGTCAAGTTAAAAGGACATATTCAAGGTTAAAATAACAGTGAAGACCACAAAACCAATTAGGAGAGGTAATAGTACATCTGCTATGGTAAAAATAGGAATGTACATATGGACACACATACAAAGGGAGGACTCATCGATCTCTGCAAGTAAGGGCTCCAGAGCATATTCCTAAAACAAATGGAATCTTCAGAACCCATTAATGGTGAGAACAGTAGACCTAACTCTTCTATTGCGAAACATATTATAGAGACAGGGCATAAAATTGACGTTAACACATCTTTTAAACCTATTTATAAAACATGTTTGGGGTGTATCCTAAAGTTTGTGGAAGCCCTAGCAATTAGAAAGTTTAAACCACCTTTATGCGTTCAAAAACAATTCGTCATCACATTAAACCTTCTTTGGTAAATTTTGTTTTGATACCATAGCAGATGTACTATTACCTCTGCTATTTGGTTGAGTGGTCTTCATTGTTATTTTGACCTTGAATATGTCCTTTTAACTTGACCTAAGTCTATTTTCTTAACTCTTTATTACTTTCACACATACATTCCTATGACAAGTGTGTGTGTGTGATCAGATTGTTCGAATACATTACACGATTCAGACAAATTACGTCTTCTTATCGCTTTATCTAAACTAGATAACTGCCTGTATATTCTAGAGATTTGGTCAACACCTTTAAAATAAAATATTTCGTAAAAGCTTAAAATTCTTGTCTTAGGAAAGATTGTTGTCATGTTTCGTCCTAAACTTGAGTCAAATCCCTAACACTAATGTAAACTTGCAGTTACTCTCGAATAATTCACAATAGCATACCAGTATATTAGTGGCTATTATATAGATTGTACTAAAAATAAAGTTATAACTAAAATAGGACGGAAAATAAGTTAAATTATGTGGAGCAATTCGTCAAGATTTCTATTTCCTTCAAGATAATAAGGATGCTTGGAACACCAGATATATTACGATTAGCTGAGGCGATTGTGATCAAACATTTTCAATCAAGATAAAAGGAATATAACCAATTTTTTGATTTCTTTGCATTTTAGTTACATGCACTGCATAATCATCAGTATTAGTGGTTCCGGCTCAATTGATTGATTTCAATCTTATGAAGTTCTTCAGTTGTTAAGCAGCCTTCATAGTCATTAGTGTTCACTAATTTTTCTGTTTTCCGTCTTTTTCTTCTCCTCTTGCTTTCTAATTTACAATGCATGCCAAATGATGATTTGAAATAAAAATTTCGATGTGTACATTTTAGATTGCTGAATTTGTAACGTCTTCTCCGATAGTATTTCAACCCTGAAGTATATTGCTTTCATTCTTTTATAAGCATTGTAATTTCGGGTAGTCTGCAACTTATAAAATGAAATTATTTTGTAATGCAAACCTGATCTCTTTTACTCAGTGAAAAATTATGATAGATTGTCTAGGATGTCTCTAAATTTTCAAATAAATTTATAACGGAAGGTTCAGAAGTTAATAACAACAGCCAAGCCAGTTTACGGGGAATACAAGGAAATTTGTATGAATCTCAGTTCTAATGTCCAACTGTTACTTTAAAACTCGCTGATATTTCACATCGAAAATATGAACCTTCAACAGAAACAGACATTTCATGCAGTAGCTACTACTTATTTTCCAATAACCCATCATGAAGAGTTTTAGTGCTAATTCACTGTGACTACAACTTCTCTCATAATCGTCCACTGGAATGCAGTGCTGAGAATCGAGATAATACGGTTATTTCCTGAAGATGCAAAAACAGATTGAGGCTGCGTTCAGCTAAGCACATTGCTTACGTAAACGAGAGAATTTAGACAGCACTAATACCAAGGCCTAGGTGCACTTCATCACTGTATACATCCCAGTGACTAACTAATTCAAGATGTATACTTGTGTGAGACCACTGATACTGAGTGTATGTATGTTTGATACATTTAATATTCTGTAGTTAACTCATCCAACTGTGTTTACATTCTACTAAGCAAAACCAGTGACCATTTTCAGATCAAACAGTTAAGTTGAAAGGAAAAAAAATTAGAACACTAAAAAAGAATGACAATTATTTGCATTGTCTTCAAAGTGATGAAAATTGTGTATTTCATGTTATTTCACAATTTATTCTTTTCAGAATTTAGTACAAAGTATTTTACGGTCTATAAATACAAGTAATTTCAGTTTTACATATTTCTGGTAGTTGAAAGTTTTCAACATCATGAATCCTTGGTCCATTATCAACAAAATTAAAGAATAATTGTTGAGCCCAACCAGTATTTCCTTCATACCAAAAGCAGACTGGTGTACGCCTGATTCAATGGCATTATTCCCCCGAGAAAAAGAGGCATAAGAAAGAGAAAACAAGATTAAGATTGTTGTTTTTAAGTTGTTTTTTTTTAATGTAGTGGTGTTGCCTGTTGAGATTTACAAGAATTTAGAGCATTAAGAACTAATGGTCAGATGAATTGCTTATTGTTCTCTTGAGAGGTTGTAACTGATGGAATTACGAAGTGAAACATAAACTCATCGGTAATGTTTGTGCGATATAATAATAATCGCTTTATTCCATTATTTTTTTTATACAGAATGGAATTTTCAGCATTTTCATATCGCTACAACTTTATCCACTTTCGAGATAAGACTGAAAGCACCATAAAATCTGCAGATTATCCTAACTACTTCAGAGATGGTCATTTGGTGTAGTCAACATCAACCTGTTGACTTCAAGTTACATAACCAGGCATCGTCGAAGCATGCGCACAAGCAGCCGACATGTCAACCTGAGGCCGATCACTTCGGTCCAATCAATCGACGGGAAAATCTAAATAAATTGATGATTTAGTCTAGCGTTCATAAAATTTTATAAATCTATTTCTCTGCAGCATTTGTAGTACCTTTGCTTTTTACACTGGTTATTTGGGACAAGTTTTCAGTGTCTCTCCGATAAACCGACCATACTAAGTTCCGAAATTGCCGGACATTGTGCTAGGCCGTAATACATACTAAACTTGGTATACATACTTCATTTATAAAAATTTACCAGAATTGAGTACCGTACTACAAAATCATTTTCCATTTGATGCACTTCATTTAATGATAAAGTTATGTAAAATAGACCTAGAGTGTTGAGAAAGTCAAAACAAGATTTTTGAGAACGTGTAAGCCACAGCTTCTTCAGAAGAATTACTCAAATGTTATATGACATTCAGAAAAATCTTGTTTTGATTTTCTAGACACGCTGGGAATATTTTATATTTTTTTCAAAAGAATGGATACTGGTGATTTGATTTAGCTTGGAGTTCAAATTATTTAAAGAAGTTCGCAAAATCTGCGGTTTGGATATTTGTAACTCATATTATTCTATAAAGAGTTACTCATATTTGAAACGGCTGAATTCAAACGTAAATGCACCTTATCTATATACCAGGAAATGTGTTTTCACTATATAGTTAGGAATATTATTTCTATCAGTATATTTAAGAATGAGTAGCCAGATGAGAACAAGAGTTTTCCCAAAGTTACAAACAATCTCGGTGTTGGGGTGCGCTGAACTTAGATCCAGGGATTTTTTTGCATTCAATATTCCAAATATCTTAAAGCTTAAATTGTTCAACAGACTTTAAAAGTCTTCCATCCCACAGTGTCAGCGATCATCCACGTAATACGCAGAATATCGAAATAGGATTATTTAAGATTTCATGATAAATACACTGACCTGAAGAACTTGCAACACTTCCACTATCTCACGTTTTAAAGCCACCCTCGTCAATACAAATAAAATTGTTTTACTGACACGCAGATTGGATACATACACATATCCAGATTTCAAGAATCATTTTTAATCAAATGTTTCTTTTAAACTAACTTTTTCGATTTCTCAAAAGTCCACCCATAGCCGCCGAAGACTGGATGATTGTTTCTTCTAGAGATATTTTTCTGTTTCACAAATTCATTTTGATAGTCATCATCTTTCGGTATAACCCACCACTGAATAGTTTGATTTAAAACGCCGGAGCCAAGCCTTTCCGTTGTACCACTGTAGTAGTGTGTAAAAGTTTGCATAAAGTTTTGATGTGGTACACCCCATGGTTTACGATATACACAACATGGTCCATAGCCTGAATCAGTTGGCGCCATTAGATAAGCAGTTTGATTATAGTTAAATATCATACAAGGGAAATAACTTGATGGCTCAAAAATAGGTACACAGTAATCTTGATAATATTCTATTGCGATGTTTAAGTCCAAGGCATACCATGTTCTGCCACGTCCAACAGCGTATGGTAGCTGAGGTGGATAGTTCTGTGGCCACGGTGGTAAAGGCATTTGATCGTCATCCCTTGGTGTATAAAAAAGAGTAAATTCTGTATAGAATCTTTCTGGTAAATTTGGTGGTATAACGTAAATTGATGAATCTATAAAATTATTGACAGAGCGATGGTCCCAAGAATGAAGAAGCTTGGGGAAAAAGGAAAACAAACCGACAGAAGCAGAATCATTAATTAAATAATGGCTTCATTCAAAGGTTTAAAAAGAACTTGTTTTCAGATGTAATTGTGAAAGTATTTTTTTTAAACCAGCAAATTTGCTTACTGTTAGTATATTACTCATGCGTTGTGATGTTTCCATGATGAAGCTTCTGTTAACACTTGCGATAAATTTGTAACTGATAACAACAAAAGTACAATTTTATGTCTAGTTTTACAGTGGTAAACAGAATAATTTCCACCTACCTGAAGTAATGAGTCACCCGTTTATCTGTGCATCAAGAATTGACAAACAAATATTAGCACAAGGAGATGTATTTTTTTTATTAATTTACATTCCCAGTGGAATATAGGGCTTCAATCTAGAGACTTGAATTTTCGGTAGCAATGGTGTTGATTTTACGGGATGGGGTTTCTAACCTCATGCCCAACCTTCCCTCTTTACCAGTCTTATTACTTACTTCGAGAGGTCTAGGAGTACGTCGGCCGGGGATCAAACCCCGGACCACATGCGTGGTCGGGGAGTATTCTACCGCTGAGCCACCAACGCACGAGGAGATGCATAGTTGTAATTATTACTCATCTCTGTATTTTCATATGGCTAAAGTAATTTATGTATAGATTTGTTGCTTTTTGCAGTAGTCATTGAAATTATTCCTCTAATCCTCACAGCTTATCGATTTCTAACCAGTAAATGTTTTGCTATCATTATTCTCACTTATTCATTGCTTTCTGAATGGAATATAGGATCTCCGCAGTACATCTCCATTCTATTATGTTCTTTCCTGCCTTTTAAAGCTTGATGAACGACTGCTCACAAGACTTGATTTCTCCTCAGCATGATCTCCTCCATATTCCACCCAGGTGTCGGCCGAACTCGTCACTTCTCGATTTGGTTCCACTGGAGGGCCTAACGTGTTATATGACTTGAAGGTTTACTCAGTGCATTTCCTTCTGCATATTTATTGGATAATAGTTACTTGGTTGGTTCTCTGTCTACCGGAAAATTCATATAAAATAATAAATGAAGTACGATCAAACTAGTATGAAGGAGTTAGCCTACATTTTCTTCGTGTGGCCGAAGATTTCGCCATCCATAAGTAAAAGCTCGAACTTCCTGTTCAGAAACGTTTTACGCATCCTTATTTACTATTATGGTCTCAGTGTTAATTTTATTTCCTTGGTTTGATGCATAATTAATTCTGTGTGACCCATTTTTAATTATTTATGCTCTTGTTTTCTTTCAGCTGACTCCAAATAAATCTTCATCACTTAATTAAATAGTTCTAAACTTCCTCAGTTACGTAAGTTCGTCCATTATTTTTCAGTCACTACTGTTTCTCAAACACGTTGATTTATTTTGCTAATTAAGTGACAGTAACCTTTGGTTTTTCCTGCCAATTAACAGTGGACATATAAACCCCTAAATAACTATACATATTTGAGAAGTTTCTAAAAGGGATCTTTTCGCTGACTTACGCGTTTTTAATTCACTTTGACCTACGCATACATGCCAACAAATAGATAAGTAATCAAAGTCACATTTTACAATTAACTATGCACAACCGCTCTTATACACTATTTTTTATGAAGCACCAATGAAAGTGTTTATTGTGACATTGGAACTGTTGTCACTAGAATCCTGGCGTAGTCAAAAACTTGAACTAAATATTTACATCCCATGTCGCAAGTGTCTTCTTTCACTCTAACAGTTATGTTAACAAAAGTGATTAGAGTTAATTTATTGCATTTTGCAAAAGGTGTACATTATAATTACGATTCATAATGCCATCAGTAATTTACACATTTTATTCGAGAAACAGTCTATAGATAAAAGGACATGATATTTATGTCATATCACCGCCCGACTAAAAGTAGAAATCACTGAATTTCAAGTTGATCACCAACATGCATTGAACACATTCTAATTAATATATGACAGTTGAACCACGGGAATAATCAGTTATTCTCTGTAAACTTCTCCCTTCGTAGTTGCGTTTCTAATATAGCTGACTGAAATTGTAAGCTATCCATTTTAAATTAATTCTTCAGATTTCCATTGAGATCAAGAAGGTTGGTATTTGTATTTATATTCAACCTGTTTAATGGCTGACATAGCAAAAAACTTATTCCCTGTTGTAAGAATTTGGATTGTTTCGATTTTGAACGATCTTTATCAAAGTAATAATTTTTATTGTAATCAGTACACAAAAGTATCCCTAAATACAGGTACTAAAAGACATATGAAAATTTAAAAAATTCCTTTCGGAATACTTTAATCTCAGGTGTCTCAAAATTAACTTTTGCTGTAACATTTTATTGATATGTACTCATAAGTCTTAATATTTAGTGGAACCATAAATTGAAGAAATGGACAAAGAGAATTAAATAACAAATAACTTGTGGTAAAAGAAGCTGGAAAATGTATTCATTGCTAATTAGAGGTATACTGATCATTAAACTGAATGTCTATGAACTAACAGTCACATTTCTGACAACAAAACACGTAGTTCAGCGAAAACTCTCTTTTTTTCGGTGAATTCATTTACTTAGCTGTACAGCCGCAGTTATATATACTTATTTTTGTATGTGTATGTACATTAGGTTTGTCCGATAAGGACAAAAATAAGTTAGGCTTATTGTTATCAAGACATTTCAAAAAGTGTGATGAGTAATCAAACTGTAACTTGGGGGGGGGGGGGAGGGAAGGTGGTGAATATTGGTGAGAGGGTAGTGGTGATGAATAGTCTAATGAGTGAGTTGTGATTAGGATGCACATAGAAACAAAGGAAAAATATGGAATTATGTAAGAGTTCTAAAAGTTACAAATGTTATAAGGAGTTAGAAAAAACAAGCATACAAACATCAAGTTAGTAGAAGTCAACACGGTTGTTACCATGATAACAGAAGTGGTTGAATGATTTTCTTTTGCATACATAACTATGGTTTCTCCAACTGAATGGCTGAGGCATCAGTGATACAAAGGAGACGAAAGCCTGTTGCCTTTGGTAGGTTGTTCTTCACTTTTTAGATCACTTTGAAGGAGGCGTTTGTTGAGGTAGAATGACCAGTGTTGACTCATTAAACGATTCATCTTATTACACAACTGTTTCCACGCTTATTCAACTTCTTTTATATGCTAATAAATGAGTTTTTTTTAACAACCCGTCACCACTACCCTCTCACCAATATTCACCACCTTTCCCCCCCCCCCCCAAGTTACAGTTTGATTACTCATCACATTTTTTGAAATGTCTTGATAACAATAAGCCTAACTTATTTTTATTCTTATCGGACAAACCTAATGTACACGCACATACAAAAATAAGTATATATAACTGCGGCTGGACAGCTAAGTAAATGAATTCACCGAGAAAAAGAGAGTTTTCGCTGAACTACGCGTTTTGTTTTCATCAATGTCTGGATGGGATTATTAATGAACACCTCTGAAACTTGTTATTTTAGGAGCTTGTATTTACATTTTTTGAGGTGATAGCTATCCATAAAATAAGACAACCCATTGTATCTACAAAATCAGTGTATTATCACCCTTAACATAACCTGGTAATCCTTGCCTGATTATATAAACAAGAGTAATATAAATTATTATTCTTAAATCCCTTCCTTCTTTCACTTCTCAGACAAAATAAACTGAATCAGATTGTCCGAAATGTATTGCGCGAGAACATCACATTTTTCAGATAAACTCCGTCTTCTAATAACATAAAACAGTCCATATTCTATATTTCAGGGTGCATATTACGTAAAGCTGTTTATACTGCATCTGCATAATTTCACAGACCGGCAAAGGTTATTCAATAGGTTCTACGAATACACTGATATGATTATGAGCAAAATATTGTGCTCGAAACGTCACCCAGTCATCAATGCTGTATCACTTTGTCTGATATCAACAAAATGATTTAATATGGAACTATGTTCTACCAGTCCGCGAATCCTGCACTTAAAGTAAGCGAACTTAACCGAAGCACATCAACAACTGAGTTTAAAAGTTACCACTGGTCGCTCGTATCTAACTGGAATTATCTTAGTTTTCGTCAAAAACTGATAACAGTTAAACTGACTGACTGGTTTCAAAATAGAACTTTCCACCGATGTGCAGCTGTTCGAGTCACCACACTCCATGTAGCACACAAAGCAAGAGGAGAAAGTAGAAATGCAAAAGAGACAGTAGACAGTGATATGAGACAAAAGGAATAGTAATATCGAAAAACAGTATAGTTTCATTGAGTATTATAAGTCACAAGGATAGGATGCATCTGCACAAGCCATTTAGAACGATTTTGAGCGATATCACCGATTGTCTCCAGCCATCATTGGTTCTTACTAACTCGAGGACCACAACCAGCCAAGAAGTCTACACCTCCTTATGTGACTGGCTGGCTTAAACTAACTGTTGTGCATTTGATTGACTGATGAAGCCATGCTTTCGTTTGACCATCACAGGCTCTTCTCCAACCTGATCCATCCTATGTCAGCTAACATTGCCCGTCGACGAAGGCTATGGCTAGGCAGGCATGCGCGACACATGTGATAACCATCTCAATCAGTGTAAATTCACAACCTCATCGATTGATTTCCCCTCCTTACCTAACCTCAATATTATTCACCGCGTTATACCACCATCTAACACGTGATATAGAATGCAAACACTTATGATCAAAGACAGCTAGCCAGGTTTTTTATATCTTCCACTTCCAATGGCTACATCTCACAGCCAACCGTAAAGGAGGACGGAGCGAACCGCTGAGCAGTACAGGCGCCCTTTGGTCGATGGCCGGATATCACAACTACGACAGAGATGGCGTAAACTGGCGAAACGAGCCTTCTGTAACCGCCATGTTGAGATTTCGTCAGCGATCAACCTGTTGGCGCTGACTGATGCAACTTCCCAAATAAGTGAAGTGGTCAAGACGCTCCACAAACCACTTCACTCCCTATTTCTAAGCTAGGAGTCGGTGTAGTCCAGTCCTGTAACATCATCTTGCATTTGACGGAAGCAAATCGCAAGCCAAACATTTGCAGATTGCACCTCAAGGTGTTCAGAAGACTGCTGCATTTTGTCAGCATCTTCACCTAGAAGGGCTATATCGTTTGCATATTCTAAGTCGACGAGATTATTTCCTGGTAACAAGTCGATTTCTGAGTCGCTGAAGTGAGTTAGGGTTACGTCCATTAGTACATCCATTATGAAATTGAATAGAAATGGGGATAATGGGCATACCTGACTGACACCATTAGTTGTCACCAGTTCAGATGACAACTTGCCGCAAGCTCTCACCTGACTGGTTGCATGAGTCCGAGTAGAGTGCCTTGATCAGTGCAATGTATTTTCTCGGCATTCCCTTAACAGCCAAACACTGCCAGAGAACCTCTCGGTCGACAGAATCGAATGTCGCTTTCAAGCGAAGAAATATGTCAATTGTTGGAGGCCGGCAAGTATGCCACCTGTGTTCCAGAATCTATCGAAGGATGAAGATATGATCAATATACCCTCTTCCTAGTCTTAAGCTTGCCCGGTTCTCTCGTCTTTGTTCCTTCCGTGGACCGCTTAGTCTACGCATTATTATTGAGCCTAGAACTTTAGACACCCTGTTGGTCAAGCTAATCCGCCTGTGATTATCACAGTTAAATGTTATGTAAGAATCACGGTGTATGGGACAACAACAGTTAATCATTTAGAACTGAAATTTGGGCAGGTTTGTAAACAGAAAAATTTCACTCAGCATCCTAGGCTTCGTAGATGCCTTATATCGACTTCATGAATACATCTGCCTACGGAGAGTAAATTGTCATTCATTAGGCAAATGGAAAGCAAATGAGTCATGTTTCACAAATTCGACCACTAAGTAAAATATAGCAATCCTTTTCCAATGTCATCAGTTTTGAATAACTCTACAAATAATGTATATAGGTGACAAGATTTAACCAGAAAATTACACATCTAACTTCCGGTTCAGTGTACAGGTAAGCAAAACTAAATAACTTTAGAACAGGTCTGATAAACTTGGATCTAAAAGACTTTCGTCCTTTTAAAACACCTACAGAATGCAAAAACTTGTTACATTCTCATAAATGAATGCTATCAAGGTACAGAATGCTTGTGATTTATGTTGTTCTTTAAGCTGGGAAGATACTTATAGCTCTCTGATGATTTCTCGTAATTAAAAAGTTTACAGCTAAACTGTCAGATCAAAATAAATCCATTTGAGCATAAATCAGTGTGTTTTACGCTAAATGGCATTCATAAATTCATTTTTATTTCTATCTCTTAATTTGCATATTATTGTATCATTCAGTTCTAGTGCTTATTCAATGGGGTAGCTTTTAATCTTACATTAAAAATACCAAATAAAAAAAAAGGATAGTGACATTTAGATGAAGACAGAAAGACACCAGAAAATTTATTGTTCTGTTTGATATGAATATAATCATGCAAGAATAAAATCTGAACAATGCGAAATAACACATCATCAATAAAGATAACGGAGGACAATAATACATAAATCAAGCATTCTTACCAAGAATGATGCATTTATTGGTGGTATATCAGAAGATATGTAAATAAAAGATAAAATGTGCACTAAAATTCCATACATATTCGACATTTTTTTATTATGAAATGAAAAGTGTACTTCAAGAAAAGCTGTTAAACTCCCGACAGACATATATATATGTGAGTGTAGTCACGTATACACCTTTGTACTGTTTTCCGTTAGTGTTTTTATGGTAACGAATAGTATTAGCTAGTTCACAAGATCATTGTGTTTGCGTATAAATGAAACAGCCTATCACCAAATACTTTTATGGACAAAGAATAATTTTTCACCTAGACAAGAAAAATCACTAATAAAAAAACTGTCTGACCTACACTTACGAATAGAAAACATTATAAATTATGTGAAAAATACCCATAATTAATTTTATGTTATTCGCCACAGTTGACCAAACTGACTGGTCTTTAGAGCTTAACAGATAATTATCTATTTCCTTTGAAATTGTTTAGGTCCCAGTCTTATTGTGAACAACTAACAAGCTTCAGGTAGGGCAGAACTAGCACTTCGAATCATGATGAATGAAATGTAGCCTTGGAATTTAGCTCGCAGAAGTATCAGGATGTTTGTGTAAGCCGTATGCCAACAGAAAATGGTTATTTCACAGGAAACAGCCATTGTAAGTAAGATTGTCGAAATATGATGCTGAGACATTTTAATGTTGCATGTGTTCATCTGCAGTTACGGTGTGAATAAAGAAGAAAACAGAACTCAGGACTTGTATAAAGAACAGGAAACTTTTTAAGACGTAATACAATGAAAATTTCTAAGTTTACTTGAAATAAACCTTTCATGTTTATTGGTGTAATAAGCTGAATTAGTCTGCCGACTTCATGTTTCTATACATTAATTTAAGAATATGAAATATTTCCATATCATAAAATAAAAGTTGGTCTAAACAAAGAGGCTTTTTTTCAGTAAATTCTGCTCTGGTATTTGCAGTAATCATTACAATAATAGTCAGTTATACAGCACGTACATTTAACGCACAACGACAGACTACTTATATGGCAACACAATAAGTAGTATTCGTGTGACAAACTAGGTGCGTTTGATGAAAATAATAAAGCGTGAAGTGGTTGGAGATAGCAATTAATTATAATGGAATCATTCACTGTGATAAGCAGAACTTTTAATCCACGGTAGGAACGATGTCACAAAGTTTCCATTTTCAATAAAAAGCTCATCACCAAAATTTCAGCCATATGTAGAAAACATGGGAGAGCTTTTCCTGATAATGACTTCGGAATGTGATATATAACCACTAAAGGCTACGTTAGCATCAACGTGGTATATTGTCTTTACCAAATGTGACGATTGAAATTTTTCTGCACTTGATTCCACTCTTTTTGTACCATACTAGTAAGTACTCTGGAGTCCTTAGATGAACCTACCTAATCGTACGTACTGTTTAAATTGAACCACAGGAGCAGCTAAAACGGTATGTGCACGAGCAACGGCTAAGATTAGGTTGGACGTCTTCAGTTTCAGGGTGAATAATGAACGGCTACTGAAGGATAGGAACCCTTGTTCAAAATAAGAAGTCCACTTTATAGCTCTAGCTAGGAACTGGGATATATTTTCCCAAGAAGTATCTCCACTAAATTGCAGACACAAAAATAACTGTTGTTTTCCAGTTACCAGTTCATGTCTGTGACTGCTGTATGCTATGTTGACTTTAATAATCTCCGGATTTCTGCTTAAAATGTTCCGGATGACTTGGAGTTCTTTCTCTATACATTCTCTGAAGCAAGTTAACTTTATTCAAAAAAGCTAAACGTCTGGTCAAATTACGCATGTATTTCATTGGTACAAGGCTAAGAATATATGTATATATATATAGCTTTGCTCTGTAGTTTTCTAAATATATTTCTATGATGGATCTATCCCTCTTATTAGTGGAATTTCGAAAAAGTGCAGTCACTATGTTCTCAACCGTGAGCGCAATGAAATGTTGGGTGAGCACTGTAGGAATTACTGAAAATCAAATCACTACATGGATATTTATGGTAGACTACGAAAGTGTTGTTCATGTAATGACAGTATACTTCCATTTTCGCTATTTCATGTTTCAACAGACCATTTTCTAGTTTCGCTGATAAAATATCCACAATTATAAAACCTAGTGGAGATCCTATAGCTACTCCCACCAATCTGTCTATACATTTCATTATTAAATAGGAACTTAACATTCGGTGTACGTTTAAGCAATAGTTTTTTTTAGATTAGTAAGAGGAGTACCAGTGCACAATTTTGTCTCCAACATCTGTTTGCAGACATAATCGACGGTTTCCACCAGAGAAAGATTGATCAATGAATAACTATGTGACATCGAGAGATGTACGCTGTTTTTGATTTTTATAATTAAACTGAAACGTATCTTTAAAACTCTACTTCACTAGCTTTCTATTACGGCTAGTCATCGTCTTTATCTGTATCACACCATTTTTAATTTGTATTCAACTCACTAGGTTTATCGAACAAATGTTACTTATTTTGTCCCCCTATACCAAACGATACATTGAACGAACATTGTGAAGTTTACGAAATATGTCATAATGAAGAGTCAAATTAAAACAATCTTTGTAACAAAAGAGATGACCACCTTGCATCGAGATTTCAAAACACACTTCATATATATTTATCTAAGTAACTACTGCACACATACTAACACTGTAGGCTCTAGATTCTGCAAGCGAAATATATTCATAACAAGGTACCACATCCGTGAGAAGCCTAAAATCAATCTAATAAATGACAATTTATCGTAAGCCTTCAACTTATTCGGGAATGTTCGATTTGAATAAAATGTAGGCCTATGGAATGAAAAGACAACGGAAGAAACTAGCAGAACTTAAACCTCTTTGAATAGCTCCCTTCAGTAGTTTAAATAAATTCTAATTCACCTTCATATACTTATCTTCCAAAAATCAGTAACCAAACAGCGTGATCAAACTTTACTCTTGACATCAGTAGAGCGGATTTTCCCTTCCTTCTTTCAGTTAATAAACTGAGGGCTTTTTAAATTGAAACAAGAATCTGGGAGTCAGTATCCTTCAGTTAGTTGTGAATTTTGTGTCTTATTAGTATCACTTCAGACAAGTTCACATTGAAACCAATGAAAGATATTTAGACTAGTCATATTTATTCACAGATATATTATAGGTCATAGAAATCACAAACATGGACAGGATATGAACAATAAAATGCGATAGACAATAATTTGTTTCACTTTCTCAGAAATGTAGTTTGGGTTTAAAATAAAAAGGAGAGTATTTTATATTTTTAGAGTTAAACACACATTTGTGAAACTAAATTAGCCTATAAAAAGCTACAAAGTCGAACAAAATAAAATACCACACTTAAACACATTTGATAAAAATACAACAACATTTGTACAAAGTCCAATTCTGTTTTTTTTTTTTTTAACAAAAACAAACAATAATAATTATATGCTTCGCTGATATTATTAGTTACACATAAGGTATAAAAGAGGTATTAAATATTATAGAGGGAAGGAAATGAAATGTTGAAAACAAATTCCTCTTTTTCTAATCTATATTTATTACAACCACTACATTTAAAAAAGCGCCTGGCAGTTAGTTATTAAAAGTTTTTCGAGAAATAGGGCCAATACATTGGGAGAAAAAGTGTGTGTGTGTGGGGGGGGGGGGGTCGAACATTCAAAAACAAGGATTATTTATGAGATTGGCAGACTGCCATAGGCGAAATGAATGACGATTGGGGATAAAATGAATTGAACAAATGACCTCCGGATTATTAACCAGGATGGTCTACTGAGGTAGTATTGTACGAACCGGTAAGTTGAATAGATATGAAAACAATTTATGAATTCTACATATAGAAAATGCAGTCATAGCTATATATTATGTAAAGGAAAACTGAAAAATAGGATAAAATTTAACCAGGATTAAAACGATGTCATCATATAACTAGTGTTGAATACAATCCTCAGAATGAACTATAATTTCATATATTTAATTATTAATTATTTACGAAAATTCTGTTTGATGAATGAAGTTGGACATCTCGATTGAAATGAACCTAAGGGATTTGATTTTTTTGTGAATTCAGGATCAGTGGAAATATCCCAACTACTAAAAATTTCATTTTCACAATACAGTTTGTAAATAGTATCATCGTCCAATTCGTCGTCCTCCTGCTCCTCCTCCTCCGCCTCCGCTTCTTCATCCTCTTCCACCACCACCTCCTCCTTCTCTTCCTCCTCCTCTTCAGCCTCATCCTCATCATTCTCACTACCATAATCAGCGGTAACAATATCACAAACACCTACACCATTGGAATTTATTGAAGGAACCGGCGATGTGCAACTATAATCAATCATATTGTCTTCATCAGCTGCTTCCAATTCTTCAATGTCTGGAATATAATCATCATTTTCATTCAGTGAATGATCATCACCGACCTCCATATATCCATAATCTCGACTGACATAACCTGACTGAATATGTCTTCCTCCACTGTGTTGATAACGTCCAGAATTTTTCAAAGTGTTATTTCGCACACTGTTGGGTTTAATTGAGTATTCAGCAAGCTTTTCAGTATTACGTATATTAGTATGCCTAACTACTTTGTTAGTGCTGTTAACAGACGTTGTATCACCACCACGTTGGATAATTTTTTTAGTTTCGTTGACAGCACATCTGGCTTCATGTAGTTGAGCTGTGCAAGAATTTAAAAAAAAAACCGTAGAAATCACAGAAAATACAAAAACATATATACGCAATTGGAATAATTGAATACTGGTTCAAGGAACTAAACTAGGGGGATGGAGAAGAATATTTCGCCATAATTATAACTACTAGTAATATATGCCTCAATAATCATATATTTATTCCCAAGCACTGTCCTGAGGGGTTAAAAGAGAAGAGGGAAATACAAATAAGCTGCCAGTTCAATCATTAAACCTTTGATTAACTCTTCTTTACAAAAATTTTCTCTCAAAATTATCTACAAAATTTCAGAAAATAACCGTAATGAGTGTGGGTTTGAAACTGGTGAACAGTAAACGAACTCAGAACTTAGAATTTTTTGAACTTCGATGCGTAGTAACGGAATATTTCGAGTCTCAATAAAGCCTTGACCTTAATACGCTTCTTTAAATTTCTTACTTGACAGAAAGTAATTGGATTGCTACAGTTTCCTTATTTATATCATCGTTTCTTCCCCAGAACTCTTAATTACTCAGTGTCTGGCGTACATTCAGCTATGATCACCTACACTTTGTCGAATTCTACAATTTTCTAATTGTAGTGATTATTTCAGAATTCTTTTGCTTATTATTCAATGATAGACCTGATATCACTAGAATTCCCATTAATCCGAAATCGAAAATTAAAACCACTGTTCATTGTTAACTGATTCTAGGATAAGCAAACTGATATTCGAAGGAAATATCATGGCTAGTGAACCGCACACCCACTATGTCCAGTTAGAAAACAAACAATCTTTGATAGCACTGTGCAGTGATGATGCTACATCACGAATCCAAAAGAAGATTGATTACTGAACAAAGGATATTTTTTTCGATAACTTCGTCATCAGGTTCTGCAGTTACATATTCATTTTAATAAGGGAATGATGGATATCGAAGACATTAGTGTTTTTTAACGGCAACATCGAAACACTGACTTAAGAATTCCAAAATGTTGTCAACAACAATGATTCTTTTATTATTATGGATATATGCTGATACACTTACCAAATTCATCAAAAGATCGACATCTATGACGATAGATCCAGATACGACGACTGCTGTTAAAATAAACAGATGGATCAGATATTTCACCCTGCAAACGATCCAGAGCTGAACTGACGCACTGTTGTAACTGTTTAAGAAAGTATAGAAAGTAATTTTACTACACAGAAGAAACAATGTACAAAGACTTACGTTCAGACTGAAATTTCATGAACAACTTTGAACACGAGGATTACATATACCTAAAACTACTTTTTCTTTTTACTAAATGATGAGTTCGAAGCACCACTGGAGAGCTTCATATGTGTACCAGAGTCTTAAGCAATAATAATAATAATAATAAAACTTTATTTCAGACAATATGTGAACATATGGTACAAAACTTTTCGGCATATTCAGTTCCAAAATACTTTTTTCTTCATACAGGACTTTCATGTAAAGTAGTAATGTGAAGTATATCCTCATTTCGTTGAAGAATCGCACAGCGTTTACTTGGAAGCAAGTTAAATCAGCGCGCAAAATCGTGTATAGGTCATTTGGCATAACTGAACGATTGAGACAATGATAAATCCATATGAAATTAAGAATTTTGATGGAAAGCAATTCTGGTAGCCCAGTGATTCAAGCAGACCGCCTTGAAGTTTAGTAAAAGGTAACATTTAACGATAGAGTTAACTGAAGTATAAGTTGAACACGTTGAAATAGTCTGAAGATGATCAGATCAAGATACGATATGTGCTTATACAGTTTACAAGTCTGTTGTAGGCAGTGGCAAATATTTTTAAATGAAATCTATTGGGAATCCGAGTTCACTGGTAAGAAACTTCGCACCTGAAACCTGTGGCACGAGTGTATTTAGTCGGCATGTTGCTGTAAATAGCGATTGTCTCACCATCAGATATCTTTTGCTTACTTTATTCAACTTGTTGATCTCTTTTGTTTTATTCGGTGATGTGATGGCATTTGTATTATACCCATTTACGTGAATGCCTTCGTAGTGTATGCTAATTTTCTTGCTTTCACTGCATTTTTAGTTGCCTGTTTTTCTTTTAAACACATAAGTTTGTTAAATGCTTCAACGACATCTTTACAGACAGTTGCAAAGTCACTTGATGCACAAAAATACAATAGCATGTGTACGCTAAAAACTAGACCGATAAAATGGCTACTTTTGAAGTTATTACGGGGAACTTTTCAAAATCCCTGCAGGCATCAAAATGAATAATAACTGGCCTGTCTGATGAAATTGTATTTCAAATCATAATAGTGATAATAATAATAATAATAATAATAATAATAATAATAATAATAATGAAGACTGGTAACTGAACAGGATTGACAGCTTATTTGGATGTCACTATGATGTCTCGAAAAAGGCAATAATCAGCCGAAAAAACACTTCAAATTAGTTAAATCATTCGTTGAAGTAATCAGCATAGACAAAGTTTGATGAATTTAATTATTTTATACGATATTACAGTCAAGATATATTAATTTGAAAATTCGCATTTCTATGTTTTCATTGCATAATTCACACCAGCCCTCTACGTGAAATGCACACAAGACTACGTCGACATGTTAATATTCATAATATGTAACGCTGAAAAGTCTGCAACAATCAGTCGTCATACAGATGCGTCATTATATTCCCTGGACATTAACCAAAGGGGGTATTTCATTTGAAAATAGCCAGATTTACACACTAGTTAGACCGCCTACAATTCTAAGGTCTACTAATTAAATTAAATTGATTTTCACATATCACTTGAAATCCCCCTAATCATCATTCCTGTATGCGAAAATCTATTTGTGATGGATGGATGTTAGGTCTCGGGAAATTATTACAAATCTTGATACTGTCACCCAGTGCTGCAGTCATAGACGTTACCACTTAGCTTTTTGGGCTCGCGATTGACCTCCTGTAAGACTGTAGTGGATGTTTTACTGACTATTTAGTTATATTCATGTCATAGTGGACCCACAAGATCTGAGAAACCGTACCAATTTCTCGTTTGAAAATATAAAAGATACAGATATATTACGGTGAAAATAATACCGCACAGGTAATCGTGTACTTATATGGAATTACCTTACGCGGATCGATATCCGGCAACAAAAAGATACTATTCTGTACAAGTGTAGTGATATCTGTACGACTTCCTTCTCCATTGGGCAAACAAGCCACAGCATCTCGAACAATTTCAGCCAAACTAACATATGTAGGACGATCCGGTTTTAATAAAGGATGATCCCTAGCCTTAGAATGGCCAGACCAATTACGACCTGAATTAAGAGATCCCAAATCTTGATTTAGTGCGCTTGGAGCAGAACGAAGTGGTCCAACGGTGGCATAATAATCTTGTATCTGGTAAACAAATGGCGTCCATGGCTGTGAAAAACGTTCCAGTTCCTAGGAAAAGTAAGCATATCCATAAAAAAATCAACGTATACCTTTGGGGGAAATCAATGAAAAGATATTTGAATTAGGAAATAAGCCAAAGGTCTCTACATATCCAGAGTTCCAACAAACTTCTGTAATGAATTAATGCAAAAGAGTCATGTATAAAATCCCACTTACAGTATAAACGACAAAAGTTTAAAAATCAGCACAAAACAACTTTCCAATTTTAATGATAATACAATTTATAGCAGGCAACAACTACAGTCTGTTATATCTCTCTGCTATTCTAAGCATAGGGTACATAAAAATCTGAATACAGAGGAAACACTTGCCAGGGTGATTATAAAATTTCAAGAAGTTAAACACCACCTTGTTGAAGGGGCAACTCATTTAAAACTTGGTTTAGTGTAATAACTGTAGGCAGTTAGTAGGAGCAATGAACCCAGATTTGGTGTTGATCAGTGACCATTAAATAGGTATACTTGTTACCTTAGATAGATAGCAGCCATCTAAACATGGTCGTCAGACTTGCATCTCGCATTAATCCGATGAGCCACGATAACTAAAGTGAAACTGAGAAGCTTGTCACACCATAAAAGAATTGGATAGGAAATAATAAAACTAAAATATATTTTAATGTAAGCTAGACTTAAAAGTCAGATCATACTATTGAATATCATAAAACTTAGAGAGGTGGAGAAAACACAAGCGACAGGTAATAGCAGGCAACTGTTTAGGTTAATCAAGGAGACTGACTTTAAGAAAACATAACAGGATAAGATGGCTAAATAGTTCATTCCTGAAGAAAGTGAATAGAACTTCGGATTTTACCTAGGGATAATGAAAGAAATTACTTGATTTTTTTTTAATGAATTGTGATCAAGATTTGACCGAACAGTTCCACAATAAGTGGGCGCCTAGTGAGAAGTAGACATATATAAAAATTACATTTGATGTTTCTCTAGCCTCGAAATTCTATTTCGGAAGTTCTTTGATGATGTCAATGTTAAAGGTGTCACCGAAACCGGTGATGAAACGTCTATGATCAGACACATAAAAGTTTAGACAAAGCCAGTGCACCCCAACTTTTAGGAACTATAATAATCGCTTTTAACTACTATCTAACTGTCTACCTGCCGGTCGCATTCAGAATTGGTGGTTGAGATGAAACTCCCACTGCTTGCAGCGATTATGAAAGATTATACAAGAGAAGATAGCAAAATCGTATGGGCTATTTCTAGTTATGATATGAGTAAAAATAATAAACTGTGTCGTCAATATCATGGAGTATATAATACTGTTTGACTGTGATATTTTTTTATTGCTTAACGTTTCCAGTGGAACAGAGGGTTTCATCAAGCTAGAGGTTTTAAGTTTCGGTAGCAGTGGGGATTATTTTTACGGGATGGGCTTGCTAGCTTCATGTCCAGCCTTCCCTCTTTACCAGTCTTATTACTAGCCTTTCGACGTTTGGGAGTGTGTCGGCCGGGGATCGAACACCGAACCACCTGTGTGGTTGGCGAGTATTCTACCACTGTGATATACGTAATAAAATTCACATGGTGTATCCAGACATTTTAAGGGATGACCTGCCAAGATAACTTTCTAAGTTGGTTGAAATTTTAGCAGAAGTATGAGACCTAGACACGATTCCCCCTTACTAATTTCAACCACTGGTTGTTCAATGTGAAAAAATTACTTTTGTTATAAGCAGAGAGGAATTAGCTGGACCAATACAGTCTCTAAACTTAGCATGACTAGTGTAGAATCCATGTTTTTAGGGTACGCAATCATACGAATATTAAGTGAAGAACCAGGCCCGGATGAAGCTTTGTTGACCAATTACTCATCCTTAGACAGAAAAACTTACTGAACTTTAACAATTACCATATTCCTTGACCAGAAAAAAGCGTTAGAATCCATCAGTTGACAGGAGTAGTGGTGATACCAGACTGTTGACTAAGTATGTTGCCCTAATCGAACTCGTGCCACCGAGCAATAGCTAATGTGCAATGACAGAGACCTGTGTACTCAGTCACAAATGTCTAGTGTCACAATTTTCTCTTAACTTAATTTGACTGTAGCATCTAGTGACACTGATTTGACAACAGGAAGGGATCTTACTGACTTTGAATGCAAACGGGACACATTCCTGATTAGTGAAAACACTAACAAAACGCAGTCCATTGAACAATGCGGGGAAAAATCCAGGTACGTTTGGTTTGGAGTTCGCCTTTGTCAGATCCAGGACGATGTAATAGGATTAAACTGCTATACATGCTAGTTATGGGATAGAAAGTGAAGTGGTCAGTGGAGTGTTCACTGCTTCTTTCATTCGAAAAGCTTCATCAGCCCAGCCCCCTAACGGACTAGTGTCACTGATGAGGCCTCAGTACAGATAGAAATGATCTGGTGTGAAACATACGATTCAACTCTGTTCTTCTGTGGTTGTAAAACAGAGTCATTAAAGGTGGATTTGTGGAGGTTTATATTATGAACTGACATCAATTAGAAAACCATGGGAAAGGAAGGAGCACTGGACAGCCGTTTCATTTTTGTTTTAGACTGTTCAGTAGTGTGAATCCATAAAACACAGTAAGGATCAAACTCATGATCTTCGTGTTATGAGGTGACCCTTAGATTATAGGTTTTTCCGATTCGTTATATAGCGTCATTACTGCACAATGCTATCCGGCAGTGTCAATTCTCTAACTGGACAAGATGGAGTTCACCGGTCATTAGAATTTCGGAAAATCTGTCACTGAATAAATCACTAATGAGCAGTGAGTGTACTGTTATCAGATAGCTTAGGAAAGCCTTTTACAGAGGACTGAGACTCATCATCAGAGCAAAACACCTTTTTATTGATTCTCTACCGTTTACTGTATATTAAAATGCATGCACAGGAACATACCTGCAATTGAAATTTCGCTTTCTCTTCTTTAGTAAATGGACGAAGTTTCCATGATGTTGGGCTGTAATAAGTAAATAAAAGTCAATCAACTAATTGATATCCAATATAATAACAATCTTATCATAAAAGTAAAATCCAGTGTAAATAGTTATTTCAATTTAATGTCCAAGTTTGCATATACTTTGAAATACCTGTTTCATGAATGAACACTTATTCCCCTTTACAAATGTGATTATAACAAAGATAACGGTTTATGCACAAACCATTTGATGACGTCATTGTAAAACTAACAATTATCTTGACTGACATAACTTTTATTAATTAGGGACAGATGACATGAAGTTTGACTTACAATAATGGTGGAGGTATATCATCATCTTCATTAGGTGTTGGTTGTTGTGAAGATTTAGAAACCTTTGTCTTAACTTCTTGTTTGTTTTTACTTTTCTTTTCAACCTCATCAGACTCAATTTGACCATCATCTATTTGTAAACATGTTTGATCTTCGTCGAGCTCTGAATCAACTTCATTTGACTTATGACTGCTGCTATCAGATTCTTGAGAACACTGCTTACTCTTATTTTCACATTTAACATTCGTGCGTCTTTTCTTACGCTTACCAGTTACAAGTGAGGAGTTTGAAGTGGATAAAATCGCATCTGTTAGTCCACCGAGTCCACGTGGTGCTCGAAGCCAATCTGTAAATAATCCAGATAATTCTTTTGTTTCCGTTTCAAATTTATTGGTCCATTCCCGCTCGAGTTTTGCATTTGCTCCTGAAGGAGGACATAATAACCAGCGCCACTGGTGAATGCGTGGCTTCAAATCGACATATGGTCTTGGGCATATAAGTCGACGGGAACTTTTGTGCACAACATTCTCCGGTACATGTTCAGCCGTTAGAAAATGTAGTGCATGTGAAGTCACTGATGACCAGTTTTCTACCTGATGTATAAGAAGTATATGAAAATAAAAATTAATAAGATACTTAAACAGACTGATGAAGCGAAAGGTGGTGGGATAAAAACCTGAAAGGATCCGCAGACAGTTAAAATACACCAGCAGAGACCTGAATCGACACCTTTAACTATCTACCTGATAGTATAATTACTAACTTCTTTTCATATCAGTCGTTAGAGTTCAACCTTATATTGCGATATTACCCATCAACCCTGTATACTAGCTCTTCTATATATATATATATTTTATGACATAGTTTACTTATGTTGTAAGTGGAAGAAGCTACTTTTCTTTCGTCTGCTTCAATAAAGACATACTGTCTCAGAAGAATTAACAGATCTACAGAATTACAACTGTTAGTGATAGTAGCTTTAGCGAAAAATCAAGTTTGTAACATATGAAGGAAAGGAATAGATATCAAGCTAAAATACTTAACGTGCTAACACTCTGAATTTAATGTAAACATCCTACATACGCCTTTCTACTGAGCTTTATCATTTTAACGTTAGTACACAAACGAAATGGTGATAAAACTATACCAGATGTAATTTGCACATCTAAGAAATTTCAACAATTCATTTCCATAGTAAATTTAAATCTGACGCCATGTGGTTTGGGGGCAATAGATAAGAACCTTTGGATTTTGATTTTCTGTTTAGTGGCTACTATCAGGAAAACGTATCAGCATACTTGAAGGAACTGATGTTTACTTGGACATTCAAACGGGCATTACTTAGTACTGCAGTCAGAGATATTACAACTGAGTTATTCGGACATTGATCGGCTTTATGTAGGACTAACTAACCATGTAGTGCCTTTCAAATATGTTGCACACACACAATTACAGACATTAAGCTGTTACATCTTAATAATAATCTACACTTAGTCTGCTGAAAATCAATTGAAGAGAATATTGATTATATATTAGTTAAATGAAGAGCTAGTAAAATATCATTTGAACAAAGCAAGAACTACAGTTTTAGCAGAATAAATTGGTACCATCTTTTATTTCGTTGCCTTCTCGTCAGCTGCTTACAGGGCAAAGACATTAAGAAGAAGACGGTAGTCTTCAGAAGTCAATTTATCGAAAGCCCACATGGAAAGGACAATACTTACATTGTAATAGCTTCTGTCCAAATAGTTTTAAACGCGGACTAGTCAAGACTCTTTACTATAGAGAGAGGAGAATATGCTCTATAGAGAAATTAGAGGAAGGATTTGAGTTTCTTGAAAAGATATTGAAGAGCAATGGGTACCCTCAAAGGTTCATCAACAAGTAAGGAAGATCTGAAGTCTCAAATGTAAAAGAAATCACAGTGGAGAAAAAGCCAATCTACATTCAACTTGATTATAAAGGTGAAAACATTGCAGCAATGGTCAACAGAAGACTGAGTACGTCACTAGCCAGAGCCTTTCCTGCAGCTAAGCTCGTCCCCGTCTATCGAACAACTTGCTCTTCGGTGCAATCAAAAATCGATAGATATCCTTCTCATGTTAACTCCAACTGTATATACAAATTTACATGTATCTGCAGTAGCAGTTACATTGGAAGAACAGAAAGAAGAGCATATCTACGATTTTCTGAACATGTATCGAAAAGCTTACGTCTAAAGGGAACAAATGCTTTAGACAGTGCCATCGCCAGGCATCTCCTCGACACGGATCATGAGGTGGACGTTGAAAAGTCGTTCAAAATTATCAATAGGCAAAAGAGCTCAATTCTCCTCAAGTTTGCTGAAGCCATTTCCATCAAGCGCCTGAAACTTGATTTATGCGTCCAGAAAGAAGAGGTTATCAGTCTTTATTTGCCCTGGTAACTGGATATTTTTCATCTGAATACGAAATGCTGAAAAGTTTCCATTGTGTATGATTATTGTTGTTCGGAATAGTGTTTAATATTGCATATATATATGTATATATTATTAGTGTATGCTTACTTACTTTACTTCGGCTATCTCCTACGGGAGGATGAGCCGGCTTCATGAACATCTCGAATCATCGCTGCTCAGGCGCGGCGATCCATGGTGAGAGTCGTTTGTAAGAGAGTTCATGAAGTTTCATGGGAATTTGGTACGAGTGATGTCCCCAGAACCACTCGGCCTTTTGTTTGAGAGTGCAGCTCTAGCCTTTACACAACCAAGTGTGACCTACAAGGCAGTAGGAGTGGAGTAGGGAGTCCACTATCCATTGGCAGCCGGTGACCGCAGTTCGGTTCATACGCCTTTTTGAATGGGGCCAGACATCCAGGACATCCAACAAGCCCTTTGTCCATACGTCTGCCGGTGAGCTCCAGTGAGCTTCATACGCCAGTCGTTGGAGGTTTGGAATCAGGGTTTAGCCATCTCCACTAGACTGTCATCCAATGGACAGTCAACCCGGTGAAGAGCGCCGGGCATCCGCTTTCGCCCTCTCACTTTGGTGAATAACACCTCCGCCACGTGAAGGCAGTGAGTAGGACTTCCTCAGGAGAGGCTATGTAAGACGCCCGGTCATATGGGAGGATTTCAAGAGGTGTGCGGAGGGGTGGCCAACCCGCAGCGCAAGGCACCCACCCCCGACCATCCTGAGGCTTTGGAGGCGTGTATTGACCGATTGATTTTTGTTTAAAATGAACTCTGTACAAGTATGTTAAAGTTGTTTTTGTAGATATATTTAATAATGTCTTTGCCCTGTAAGCAGCTGATGAGAAGGCAACGAAATAAAAGATGGTACCAATTTATTCTGCTAAAATTGTAGTTCTTGCTTTGTTCAAATTCATTAAGGGGAATAAATGTATGAAAATATCATTTGCAAAAGCTTTAAGAAATTTTTTAATTAGACTAGTAATTGGAAGATTTTAGCCGATTTTTGGTAGAATGTGGCTACTGTGAACAATGTATACAAATAATAAACCGTCCTGTTAAACAATTTATTAGAAACATTAAGATCGAGGGTAAACTGAATTTTTGAATTAAATAACACAGGTTATTAATTTAACGTTAATATCAAATCGGAGATCTTAGAAATATTTTTGCAGGAACCAAGCGTTATTGTTTCCAACAAAAATTATATTTGCATTCTGAACACTGAGCCAGGTGATGTAGAGGTTAAAGTATATATATATATATATATATATATATATATATATATATATAAAGATCATAAAGAAATATACCCGATCAATCCAACTGTAGGCCCCACCAAGCTTTCTTAATTTTCTTTGATTTTGCAGTTGCCATTCACGAACATATTCACATATTTGAGGTGTAGTCAGCTTTCTCCGTTCACCCTCAAGTGTTAGAAATCCTCTGAGTAAACAGAAAAATCCGTTTCCTGCTCTGCATGCACAACAGGAATGTAGAAAGGTTAAATAAGTGGAAGCAATAGTCATAAAAAGCAAAGCAGTAAAAATAATAGGTTTCATGTTAATAAACTGGCTATTTATGTTCAGCGTAAGGTAGAGACTGCATAACAATGAGTCATCAGTAAATTTTACGAATACGAGTGAAAGAGCTGGACGAAAACTATCATTACACAATAAAATTTAATGGAGGTAATTGCCTTTGGCTTTCATAATCAATTCTAATGGTACCTATAAGGCACGGCCCAAACACAGTGTAATTACAAAATGAACGATGCTTAGGTTTAGAATTGAGGTTTTAGGTAAGGTAAGGAGGTTGTAAATGCATAGGGGACCAGGTAGATGGAAGGTATTGAATATGTTGTATTAGAGAGTAAACTTCTGAGTCTTTGGATTAGTCTGACCTACAAGGGAGGAGAGCAACACTGGCAGACGCATTCCTGTGGGTGTCAGTAGCTGAAACAAGTTCGTATACTATTCGTTCCATATGTACTCTAGTGTTTGAATATCATCTATTTGCAATCAGGATTTTACAACTCTCCAGATGGAACCTGTTTATCACGGATTCCGAACGTAACAGTTAGACATTCGGGCCAACTCACTTGCAAGAATATCTGTTAGACATTAATATGGTGAACAGAGTTTTCCTGATAGTGGAAAAGAACATGTATCAGGAAGCCTTGAGGATTAGTTTCTTCCAGGAACACTGCTCAGCACTTTCATGCCACTTAGCTTAGCGATTACACTGAATACCTGACTGACATATTTCCCTTAACGCAATTAGGGTGTTGTAGAGAGATTTGTGTAAAATTGGGTCTCTCAACTAATAAATTACGAATATCACGCCTGAACAAAGAGAGAACATATTGAGCAGTATAAAATGACGTCATTATAATTGGGTGGTTCTTCTCAGCTTTTCTGTTCGTTTTATCAAGGGAAATAATTGTATGAAATATCACAGCTGTTAGGAAACGCCAACAAAAATATCCAAATATAATTTAGTAACTACACATAAATCTGTATTAGGCTACCAACCAACAATGATTAAATGTGAGTATTTAAACCACTTAGACAATCCATAATAAGTTAAGTCTGACATAATAGACGCATAACCAAAACTGAATCGTCTAAGGCACTAAACCCCTGTTTCATGCAACTTGTTTGCATTAATTGGTTACAGGATTTCATCATGAGCTGACATCGGTTAGAGAACCATTGGAAAATTTGACAATGTTGCAAACTTTCATCTGTTGTGGAGGATGGGATATATGTTGAACTCACGAGACAGCTGTTTTTCATGATGAGGAATGTCAGCTGAAGTAGGATTAAGTTCAAAAATGCTTAGGATTGTTCACATGAAAGCATGGAAACAACCCAGGTAGTTAGTGACTACCCATCTGAACCAAATAAATACGAGTAGGTCAATTGGATGAAGTCCTCCAGAAAGGTAACAGCCAATAATTGGGGAACCTTTGTGGTATACTTCAAAATCACTCACAATATTCCAGATGAATTAATCTTTTGATATATTTGAAGTCCTCAACATCCACACTAAATTGCATGAATCTATTTTTACTTTCACACATGTTTTTGCATCATCAGATCACTGCAATTTTGTTGTTGTTTACTGTATGTTTGTTCAAAGTATGGCAACCTGTTCAAATTTCTGTGTTGATTTATGAGTAAGACAATATGTACCATCACAACTTTTAGTCATATTTAGCAGAAAGTCAAGGTAATTCATTTGTTACCAAATATACACTACGCTTGCCCTCAAAATATAGTATGAAGAATGTAACACTAGTGTACGAAATACAATTATTATATAGCATGTTTAAATTCCTCAATGGTTACCCCTTCCAGAACGAGTGAATTGTTTCATAAGTCTCTTCAGTTTAGGCAGCTTACAGAGAAATATACAAATATTAGCCAAGCTTACTTAGTTTACAGTGAACCGCTTCGTTAGGCGGCAAAAAGTGAGAGAAGGGAGTTATTTCAGAATAAAAATGACGGGTGTAAATAGTATTTCTAAACCATCCATAGCATACTATGAAAACTTACTCCGGGAAATTTTTCATAAGAGTTTTTCCTTTCTTCACATTGGTGCCTGAACGATTTTTCATAAGACTTTTGGATTTGCGCGGACGTAACCTGCGTAACAGGGATCTCTTGAACTTTTTCTCCTCAATCTTAACAGACTGACATTTTGACTTAGTTTCCAGTAAACTGCGTAGTTTTCCACGATCTTCTTCGATGTGAGCACTACTTTTAGTGGTATTTTGACGCTTCATATGCAGTTCAATCATCCTATGAATATCTTAAGATATATTAAATGAGACACATTAGTCACCTATTTATATCCTTTATATGTTTACGAGAAATATTATGCTAAAATCTCCATCCAGTTAATAATGCTGTATCACTGATACAACATATTATCAGACAGTTGGAAGTAATCGGCAGGAAGCCTTGGATCTAGGTTTCGTGCTAGTTGGCACTCACCAGTCAGCAAGGCGTATCTGCAACCTTTAAGGAACTCATGTCCTTTCTGAGATTCGAGCCCACGTCACCCAGTGCTGCAGTCAGAGACGTTACCACTAAGCTATTCGGGCTCGCGATTGACCTCCCATAGAACTGTAGTGGGTATTTTTATTGGACAGTAGTAACTAGTGATACGTGTCTAGTCCTATCTTTGATGTAGACTGAATTCTATCAGTCAGGTTTGCAATGTGGCCACCATATTATCATTTAGCACAGAAGTGGACATCATTAGATGAAGCATATTTCACTTAATTTCTCATCTTTAGACTCAGATGACAAAAGATGTTAAATCTCTCGGTAAGGCAAGCAAGCACAGTCTCAGTATATGCAGCATAGAACATTATGCGAACGATTAAGTGAAGTGTAAAAACCAATAATACCAAGTACCGAGGACCTATCGGCTGGTGTTTTCTGCAGCAAATACATTAAGCGTACAACGAAACGATGGATGGCAAATGTATAGAAAAATACTGCTATCGTATTTGCGTAATGGTTTCGCAAGAGCATAGGTCACTCACCATCTCATAGTCTTTGTTCAAAACATTTAACATCCGCAAAAGCTTCAAATCAACCAGCAACTACTCGGATTTTTAACAGCGTGTGCTGTCTAACGCATACAAGCGAATTTTTGTCTAGTTTTGACATATCATGCGGCTTTCTTTTTATATCTTCACCATTTGTTCTGCACCTTCATTCTAAAATTCACAGTTAAATATAATTTCCTGTATTTTAAATTAGTCCCTTACTACTAACTATTTTGTCCATAACATCACCATAAAGTTTTTCATAGTCCGTTTTATATTTTAATGTTTACTTTTACCAACTTCGTTGCCTTACAGCAAATACATGACTTTTAATGCTGCATAGTATACGCCTGTTGAATTTAGTCATTTGGTATGGCAATGTTTATGTATGCACATAGAATATTTAACTGTAGAGTATGATCGAGTGAAGTTGTGACAGTTGGCTTCGCACTTGACTTTTAGCTGCTGATTTATAGGTTTGAACCTTGCTCTACCCATAGAGGCTGCAGCGGATATGTGGTATCATCAGTCCTCACGCAGAGGTGTAGGTCACTACCTGAAAATAGGAATGCAAGTGGTCGCTGAGTAGCATTATGATTATTATGTATTGCTGGTATCAGACGGTTGGAGGCAATCGGTAATTCACAGTGCACCGTGATGGCGAGCCACCTAGCATGGTGGTCACATTGCTAACTTGACTGGTAGAATTCAGTCTGCACCAAAGATAGGATTAGACATATTACACTAGTTACTTACTAGTGTCCAATCGAAAACTATCATGTATTACTGGAGTTTTATACAAACTTACGAAAAAATTAAATGTTTTCTCACACTTGCTTGCTCCCGTTGTTGAATATGCCTAGGCATTGTTAAATGGGCCCATTTAACTCAATATTTAATAAGCAGTAAGATATGCAGTAAAGATCGGGAAAGCAAGGCAAGCTTTCATTACTCTCAAGTCTGTGTGGAGGTCAACAACACTCAGCATCAAAAATAACATCCGGATTTTCAACTCCAATGTTGAGTCAGTCAATGCTACTATACGGATCAGAGACTTGGCCAGCGCGTCATAAAGAGCATCTCAAACAAGCTACAGACCTTCATTAACAGCTATCTTCGCTCTATACTCAAGATCAGATGGCCGGTCAGAAAAGATCAGCAACAGGGATCTCTGGGAGCGAACCAACCAGGAACCGATTGTGAAACAAATAAGCAGGAAGAAATGGAGATGGATTGGCCATACTCTGGGGAAACCATCAAGTGACATCACTAGATAAGCCATCGAGTGAAACCCGAAAGGGAAGCGGCGAGTTGGTCGTCAGTGCAAGGGTGACTTGGAGGAAGTAATGTGAAGAGGAAATGAAAGCATGTGGGCAGACTTGGAGCCAGGTGAAAACTCTAGTGGAGAAGCGAACGCAATGGAGACGTGCGGCTGAAGCCCTATGTTCTTCTAGGAATTAAAGGAAATAATAATAATAGTAATAAGATATGCCATATGAAAGAATGGTGTAACATTACAGTCCATTTCCCACCTACGAGCATAAATGAAATGCTGCTAAAAAAAACTTTTTCACCTGGTGGTAGTAACAGCAATAACTAGTCACTTTTAAGTAATGAAGTACACCTATTGTACAATTCAGAGAGAAATGGTGCAATGGTTATTGCTGACAATTTTAATAAAATGAAAAACAGACTTCATCACAATAAATTAGTTTCCACAGCCATAAATACTTGATAAATAACAAAATACGATTCATGATAAACGTGTTAAAGAAAAAGAATGTAGACTACTTAATATTAAGACACACATGCATTTATTCAATCATGATTTTTACTTTTAAGTTTATGGGTTTTAGCCTCTGCACATGTGAAGAGCATTGTTAAGTTACAGCATGGCCTTCAGGCAAACTGAATCGCACAGTCTTACTGAGATTTATAGCACGGAATTAAGTTCCATAAGTAATTTGTTGTATTCTTCATAGCATTATTCTAAAAAATACTTACTTACTTTGCTTCGGCTATCTCCTACGGAAGGATGAGCCGGCTTCATGAACTTCTCAAATCATCGCTACCCAGGCGCAGCGATCTGATGAAGAGAGTTTACGAAGTTTCATGGGAATTTGGTACGAGTGATGTCCCCAGAACCACTCGGCCTTTTGTTTGAGAGTGCAGCTCTAGCCTTTACACAACCAAGTGTGACATACAAGGCAGTAGGAGTGGAGTAGGGAGTCCACTATCCATTGGCAGCCGGTGACCGCAGTTCGGTTCATACGCCTTTTTGAATGGGGCCAGACATCCAGGACATCCAACAAGCCCTTTGTCCATACGTCTGCCGGTGAGCTCCAGTGAGCTTCATACGCCAGTCGTTGGAGGTTTGGAATCAGGGTTTAGCCATCTCCACTAGACTGTCATCCAATGGACAGTCAACCCGGTGAAGAGCGCCGGGCATCCGCTTTCGCCCTCTCACTTTGGTGAATAACACCTCCGCCACGTGAAGGCAGTGAGTAGGACTTCCTCAGGAGAGGCTATGTAAGACGCCCGGTCATATGGGAGGATTTCAAGAGGTGTGCGGAGGGGTGGCCAACCCGCAGCGCAAGGCACCCACCCCCGACCATCCTGAGGCTTTGGAGGTAATAGATTACTTTTGACTGCGTTAACTGGGTTTTCAAGCTAATTGCTAACGAATATGTAAACCCTAAAAAACTGCAACTACAGATTTGCGGTATGACCTTGACGACGAAAGCTTTAGTGCATTTATCTTGCAAGCAAAAGAACACATACTAAGTTTTACTAAGTGCCAGAATGGCACTAACTTCTGACAGCAATATATTTAACAAAAAGAACACATATATCCTTATGATATTAAAACTATTGCTATGCCCTTTCCGTTGTTGTCACAACACACACATCTATAGAACCTGATTTATATCCAAAGAAAAGTATATTTAACAAAGATCCACTCTGAAGACAATGAAAGTAATTCTTTCAAGTGACAAATAAGACGGAAGTCCCGGGTAATAAACCTTTTAAGGCGGTATCACTAATGTAAGTGTAGAACTTTAGGGCCGTGGTGAGGTGAGATCCCATACTAGATAAGTTCATTTCAAACATCACAGTGATATAGTGATAAGAAGTCAATGACATTTCGATAATCACTGCTCATTACCATATCTATATGATACATGAGCAATGACATATTATGAGCAATAAACCGTGCTTGCAACGTCATTCAGTAATTGATACCGTATCATTGTGTGATATTTGAAATAAACTTATATAAAATGGGACTTTTAAAAAAGTGTTAAGGAATGAATCACAAATAGAGCAAATATAATTAGTGGATTTCCATATATGGAATTTAAGTCAGTGGCACCAGCTAACACTTCAAATCTTATACAAACTTAATATATTCAGTAAGCACAAAATATCTTGATAACATTTTATAAAATACATCACTTCCAAGACGAATTGTTTTAAGACTACACAACAGATGAAATGTGATTTACTATAAGCTTACAATTAACTCCATAAGTGACCAAAAGGAGCTGTAGAAAACATACCAGGTTTCACTAACTTTTCATCAGTTGACGGTTTAAGACCTTTCGACCGTATTTCTATATCGCTTATTAACCTAAGTAGATTGAAGTGAAATGCATTGCAACAAAAGCTAATCACTAACCTCTCAAAGCGATCATTCACTCTACATTCCACTTCTGTGTCCCAAATAAAAGGCGTATTTACACCAATCTCTTGCTCTATATATTCATCATCACAAGAATTCTAATTTAAAGGTCCAGAAAATGTATAAATGAATGATAATTGATTGCTTACCGGGGATTCAACAAAGTTTTCTAGTTGATAACTGAGACTGTCGAACAAAAGTTCCTTCCTTTCTACTAGAAATGAACAGAAATCCTCCACAGACATCGAGTCACCACTTCAAGGACATTTCGCTGATTCAAGCGACGATCTAAGGTTGAAACACATACAAACAATGTCGAACATTTGTTTCGCAAATGTAATTTACTTTCAACACTAAAAGACTCTCCACTTTTGTAAAGGGTTTTCATGCGAATACTGTGGTGCTGACCTCGCTCCTAAATCCTTGTCCATTACTGTTCTCAGTTGTCTATAGAAGTTCTCCCTCTTCCCCACTGGATCTGTGTTATTTGTGTGTGTGTGAAAGAGGGAGAAGCATTGGATTCCTTCAGTTATTATACTGAAGAAATTGGTTATTACTATGTGAGACCTTCCGATGCTATTGGTGATATCATGACAGCCACTGTCAGTGGGTGACTCTCCAGCTAATAACTTTAGGAATCTGCTTCCATTCAACTTGCTTTCACGGATTCCTAGAGCTTCTGTGTCATATCTTCTCTCGTTTCCTTTCTACAACTTTAGCAGGCTTTCTAGACAGGCGAAATCATGGTTCCTGTATTACATGTCCTTATGCTTACTTTTGCTTCCATAGCAGGAAGGTACACTGTCTTGCTGAAAGCTTTCATCCACCTTCAAGTTACGCATATTTCTCCCTCCCAGGGGAGTATGTGTCTTCACTGTCTGTACTTTGAAGTTTCAATAGTGGAAGCATTTTTTGCCGGTTGAAGTTGCTAAACCCACATCTGTCCTTCCTTCATTCCAAGAGCCCAGGACAAACGACTTAACTTGGGTTTTTTCCTTCACATTCCCCAGTGGAACATAGGGCTTCAAGCTAGTGGCTAGAGGTAAAGGAGTGCGTCGGCCGGGGATTTAACCCCGGACCATGTGAATGGTCAGCGAGCGTCCTAACCGATATGCCACCGACGCACTTGGTTTGGATTTTCTAAATAATACTGAAGACAAGGTGAGTTCGCAGACCAAGAAGTACCAAACCGTGGATATTTATCTACCAATAACGTAGAAAATTCATTTGGAGTAAAAAAAGTATTAAAGTATCTCGTATTTCACGAACTTTGTGAAACGATGGAAAGACGAATTTGTGAAGAGAAATTTTATTTCAGACTGTGCATAAGCTAATTATGAGTTCATCCTCATTTTAGGTTACAATAGGTTGGCTGACGTTTGTAAATTCTATAAGTTCGTGTTACAGGAAAAGCACCAGTTCATTATTAACTGGCGAAAGATTCCTTTTTTGCCAAACTTCCTGGGAAATTCCCTAGAATTTTATCCACAGCATGCATCATTCAACATTGGATGCTGACCCCCACTATTTCACTCGATTTGTTTAGCTGAAGGCTTCCAGTCAAGCATCCAAGCTATTTGTCACGCCGTCGTGCTACGTCCGTTCGTTCGTGGACGATCGCTAGCTGGTTGAGCAATCATCTTGCAGAGATCTTGAATCAGCCAAGAAGTTTATGCCAGAATTCTTATCTTTGACACAGAATGTGCGACTGCCCAGGCACTCATCCTCAGCAGTCACCACCTGTAAAGGAAATGATCGATTCTACGTCACCTGCAAAGTAGTTCAGGGACTGAGGGTGTTGACGTTCACGAATAGTGTGAAGTATACTAACCCAAGATCTAATACACCCAATTTCTACAGTATTCGTTCGGCATAGACCAAAGGCAAAGCAAAACACCAAATTGATCGTCTAAATTATGTGTTATATTTCGGGACCAAATCGGAGTGCGAGATGATTGCTCAACCAGCTAGCGATCGTGCACGAACGAACGGACGTAGCACAACGGCGTGACAAATAGCTTGGATGCTTGACTGGAAGCCTTCAGCTAAACAAATCGAGTGAAATAGTGGGGGTCAGCATCCAATGTTGAATGATGCATGCTGTGGCTGGGGAATTACCTACCACTACAGCTTGCCCCTCCCTAGTGGGGTCGTGAGGACAATACGACAAAACCCGCCGGTAGTAAAAACCTAACGGTGTCCCCATCGGCTTGATGTTATGCCTACTGGTCGCCCACCAATGCTAATTTGGTGTCTGCAAATCTCTTCGTTGATGTTAGTCCATTGGATCT